TTGACTAAAGCTCTTATATAATTGATTAAAACAAAAATTAAAAAAAAATCACAAATCGACAAAGCGTCTTGAGCTTAACACAAATTTGTTGTTACGACTAATGTCAGTTTCGGATATGCCTTCTGGTTCGCCGAGGGTACGATTGCGGAAAGGTTTCAACCTCAGTCTTGCAAAGGCTGGACAATGGAGGAAAAAGTGCATGAATGTCTCCACTTCACTTTCTTCCATACAACTTTGACACTTTGCGTCTGACAAGAATTTTAGCCCCACCGCATGAATGCCTATTGGACAATGGCCAGTTATGATGATGATGAAGTAACTTGATGATATTTCTAGTGATGACAGACCCTTCTTGACTAGCTTTAAGCGCACAGTTAGCGAGCTCAGCGTTAGTAATACAGCTCTGCTATCGGAGCTAAAGAGGCTGCACGGTGTAGCAGTACGTCTACTGCTATCTGAACAGGAGCCACTGCTGCCTAAAAAACACTACAGTGATCCTGTAGTGTAAATTAATATTGAAGGCGAGATCCGTACAGAAAATATCCCTTTCCAACCTTCCCTCCTAGCTTCGATCCATCTGTGAAAAAGTGACCCTGTGCCTCTTCTCCAGCGACTCCTTTTTATCCCTTGTCGGTATGTGAGGAGAGAAAAAGCAAGCAGGAGTAGCCTCTGCGAAACAGTGATAGAAGTTTTCAGGGATGCAGTTGAAGGAGAAGAGAATTTCACTGTGTAGTAGACAATAGTTTGGCTAATAAAATTATACAATTTATTTCGACAATAACCCACGAAAGAGATCATTGACACTAATCAGTAGTCAATGAAGATTATTGTATATAATGAAGCATCGCCTTTAGGTCCAGCGATTTGTTTCGTTCTCTACTCTAATTAATGAAAGATATTTAATTCCAATATATTCTGTAGTGCATCTAAAAGTCTCCGTAGTTCTGAAGTGTTAGCATAACTTTTTAAGTTTATAAATTTTGCAGTATTCAATTACACTGTTTTCGCTTTTCCCCGCCTTCTTCATCTTCGAGTTATAGCTGGCTTGATGTAAGACCACGCAAAAATCCACAAATCCAAAACAGCTGGAAAGTGTTAGCTGAAGCTTGAGTGTTGGGGGAAATAGTGACAAGTGCACAGCACATTCCTGGTTAATGTACTGTTTTTGTTTTTGCTTTTGCTTGGGCTTTTTACTGTGGCTGTTTTTGCACCAATGTGGCGCTCGGCAGCTGCGAATGCGCAAATTGTCTCTGAAAAGTTCACCGGTTTCGTAAGCTACCAGTAGATATTCCAATTCGCTGGCGTCAAGATTTATAGTATCCTTTCAACTCTCGATCTGCGGTTGGTGTTAATCTGCCTGTCGCTGACGACTGCTGCTCGCCTGAATTTCGCCTCTGCGGTAAATGTCGTCATGTGGTACTCGTTTGTTTGGTGTTGCTGTTCTTGTAACGTGATATAATTTTTTGTTTTTGTTGGTGTTGATATGTAATCTCTTCTGTAACTTTGCTTGATGATTTTTTGTCGTTGTTGTTGTTTCCATTATTCGAGTTGGACTCACGCAAAGCTGGAACCAAATCAAATGATCTATGGTCTGGTGACATTTTGAAATCTGACTTCACTTGTATATGGTGTTTTTGTTTTATTCCTTAGCAGTGTGTAATTAAAGATTTACTCATTAGCTCGCTTGCATTACGGATTGAATTCGTTTTGGGCGTTTCTACATTGTTGTTGCGCGTTAGATTTTTATGTGAGTCAATGAAATATTAGTTCACGGACGGAGTGCCACTCCAGGAGGTTAACAGCAGTGCAGACGAGGAAGTGTTCGTCATGCCTGCATGTGCTCGAGATTATTTCGAGTTAATGTGAGACACACATATATTTGTATACATTTTCTAATGTATTTTTCCACAGAAAAGACAAAGAATGTCTTGTTACTGTTTTGTGGCATATCTGAAAACTCGTACCCATGATGAAAAGGATCCGTTGTTTTGATCCCAACTACCTATTTGGAGAAACGCCAGTTCTTACATTATTCTCCAAATTCGTTAATAAGTCTTTTCGAGGCGATATTCGAGAGTTTTATCTGTTAAGCCCTCGAATCCACGACATTTGGGCATACGTATCCACAACAACAAGGAATATCAACTCTGCGGCAGCTTTCCTCAAAATTATTTGAAATATTTTCTGTTTTCAGCAACAATAATAACATCCTAGAGCTATAGCCTGAAGGAGCCAATTGGGTCCCCAAAACCGTCTTCAATAGCAATTAGGGTCGAAAATACCATTGGCCGGCAGATTATCGAAAGCGAAAATGATATTGGGTTTATATTGTATATTCGGGAAGTAGGAATATGAGAGTCGCTGGAACACTTCCCCTGCTTCTGTCCGGCCTTATCTAGAACTCGTCTTAGATATCTAACAGCTTCACAGTTACAAGTCATAGATGAAGTATCAGAATTTGATATCAAGTCTCTTTTATCTTCGCAAAAAGTTCCTTTATGGCAAAAACTTCAATTTGTATTTAACTGAATCTCCATCTGGCATTACAACAGTATATTTTAACTTAACCTAACTTTATCCGTTCGGTTTTTTTTTTTTAATTTGAACGTTTATTTAAGGAAAAGATTTACAATAGTATTATTCAAAGTATTGCCCATCTGAAACTATGGTATAATATTTTCCTATCTTTTTGGCAATTAGTGGATTCCGTCCCAAAAGAACTGCGCCGAACAACGGCGAAGAATTAATAAGCCAATTTTCGATACCCTGTTCTTATGTGAACAGTATTGCAGTGAAGGCGTTCTGAATCGACCGAAACAAATGGTAGGCAGAAGGAGCACGGTCCGCGCTATGAGGTGGGTTAGGCAAAACTACACAGACGCTGTTTTCCAAATAGCTTTTAACCAGCCTTCCAACATGAGCCCAAGGGTTGTTCTGTTGGAAAATGTTTGAGTTGTGTCTAGTCGCTAGGTTGCTTTTCGGCAATCGCTCTATTCAATGTGATGTGTTTGTGATGAGTTGTTGTCGGTAGCGTTCCCCATAAATGGTTTTACCCGGTTGTAGAAGCTCATAGTACAGTACGCCTTTTGATCTCACCAAATACAGAGCATAATATTGGTGTCATGGATATTCGGCTTTGCCGTTGATTTGGCTGCTTGGCGCAGTTTCACGTATAATTTTTTGCGTTTAGGGTTAACGCATCGTTCGATGCAAAACGACTTATTTTTGTAGCATACATTCTTCAAAATGGCTGCGTCAGTGACTTCCAAAGATTCTTTGAACTCTTCTTGTATTTGGCAACAATTTTCATCAACAAATCAACTTCCAATTCATCATACCACAATTACCACTTTTAAATCGTACAAATCATTTTTGGCACGTTCGCTCAGCTAGAGCATGTTCACCACAAACTTCCATCAAAATACCATGAATTTCGGCTTCAAATTTTAATAAATATTCAAATTAAAACTTTCCAAAGTTGTTCCTGCTTCGCTATTTATAATCTAACTAGTTCACCTCTGCGTCTTTATGACGCTGTGGCCCTAAATTGATACGCTTAGAATTTTTGCGGCAAATAATACTTGCTTTGCGCTAATTTTGGCTGTGAGTTTTATTTGTGGTTTGTTGTGAGTCAAATAGTCATCGACCACTTGTTGTTGTAGTGCTGTTGTCCTCTTTATGGTTTTGGCGTGGCGTTTCCTGCGTCAATAAACCATAAAAAACGGCAAATGATTGGGAATTAGTTGCGGTTGCTTTGGCTGTAATTAAATTTATTAATCTAAATATTATTGTGCGGTTTGCGTATTTTTCGTGCTATGGGTATATGAAAGGGGTGACGAGTAGACGGGGCAGTTTGAAATTTTCTAATTGTACACTGTGAATTATAATTTCTACAATATTTTAAAGGAAATTCTAGTGAAAGGAAATTATAAAAAAAAACCACCAGTTGCGTTCAAAAAGTAGGTTTATGCGGAGTTTGAATATGATGAAAGAACCTGGCTAATGAATTCTCGGTAAGTATAGAGGCTTACTTCCGATTTATATTCGATAAGGCTGATGATAAACAACACTTAGATTTTGGAAACTGAATTTCTAAAGAGCAAATAAAGAATTAAAAAAATTCGTATACAAGTATATGTAGATTGTTTCCCTGTAAGGCCCTTTTTAAGAGTCAAGTGTTGAGATGTAGTCTGCAAAACTACTAGAATAAAGTTGTAATATTCACCTGATACTTGTTGGACTTACAAGAAACTGAAATTTGTGAATTTAGATGGTGATTTGGGTCTCATTTGTAGGTAGCACAAATATTCTGTTGAAACCAGAATAGGAATTATTCGAATATCATCCAGCTTAGCCCTAGCTGTTGTTTCCCTACTCCCATACCTTCACGGGTGGTAGAGGTGGAACTTTTCGCCCTCAGCAAATTCCATCTTTCAATAGTTGTAGAAGTTCTAACTGGTTACTGTGCTACCGGAGTTCATGCGATAAGATTCAACACTTTACTACTACTTGGACAAAGATGAGATATAATCATCTCATCCTCTCCTTATCGAATGTCACGCCTTTGCCAGATCAGAACTAAAACACATCGGATTTCATAAGTTTAGATATACAGCTGAAATAGCTCAAATAGAAATAAAGCACCTACGCAGTTTTGTGGTAGTTTCAAGGTGCTTTGTCGATAGCTGATATCCAACTACAGGAGTTTTTATCTGGCTTAACAAATGACTATACATTGCAGTCTAAGTGTGATCCCCCGTCACCTTGAGTAATCAGCCGACCTAACCTTACCTAACTACTTCAGATTGATAGAAAAATTAACACTTCAGACCAAAAACTGTACTCATACGTTTCACAAGATTTTTTAAATCTTTCTGAATAAAAGGAATATTAACTAAAATTTGTGAAAATAGCATTTATTTTAAATATTCACAAAAAAACTATTCTGGAACGTATAAGATTTTGCATTTTTTTAATCTTTAATTTCTCTTTATTTTCAGGATCACTTAGCTTGGTTCGGGCACATATGCAATTATCAACTTAAGGTAAGTTTTTACATTTGTTCTATACTTAAGCGTTATACTCGTATTTGCTTAGTACGAGGGTCTAGATATTGAATAGTTAAAAAATTTTCGTATATTATTACCAAAGGCATCGCTACAATCTGCGAACATATTGTTCAGGTCGGATCATATTATACTATATAGCTGCTATTTAAACTGTCCGTTCAATTTAAGAAAAATATCTTTTTTTACCCTATTGTGCTATAAGAATGCACCCATATTCTAGATTCGGTGCAACCGAAGTTAACGGTTTTTCTGTTCACTCAAACTGAAGTTATACAAATTAAAGGTAACATCATCTCTACATTATTTTACGTTTCTTGTGTTATGCGTTTAAGAACACCACCGTGTGTGGGAGAGGGTAATGATCATTACCATATTATTTTAATATTCACATGGTAGCAATTTATGCTTATGTTTTTTAGTTTTCACCTTAATTTTTCTTTTGAAATTAATGATAATGAAAGTAGTTTTACGAGAAATTCTGCTAGATGCCGCTCTATTTTAAAAAAATTGAAATTAAAAAATTGTGTAAGAGAGCAAATATTATGTTGCTAATATACATATATACTAACTCACTTCGTCTAATTTCATATTCAGTTTTATAATTGATTATGTTTTTTCGACTATATGTATGTATGTAATAGAAAGTTATCAAAACCCGCATCGAGTAAAATGACAGCAGCATCGAAAGCATCACTCACGCTGTGAGTGGCCGGTAGCTATTCAACATCCTTCCATCCAACTAAAAACATAATTTTCATATTTCCATTATTATTTTGTTGTCTTCTTTACATTTGTGATTTTCCATTTTCTATGTTTTTGAACGGCGAGCGCATGGAAAAGCCACGGCACGTGCCACAGCAGTTTTTTTGAGTGGAGATTCTATGCACAGAAGTATGTATTTGTTCACACGCATAGAAAAATCATTGCTGGATATACCATATGTATGTATAGAAATATGAACATATATACATATATATATATATACTTATATATAATATATACATATATATAATATATACATAGAGCATACTCAAATATTGAGTTATCAAGCATTGTGCAACATTCACCTCACTGTCTCCTGGCTGCCCACATTTGACTGCATGAATGAATGATTTTATACATACATACACACAAGCATACAAACTTGTATGTATGTGTATGTTTTTATGTATCTGTACACTTATTCCCTTTTGTGGTGGGGGTATGAGTGGCGCTCCGTAGTTTGTTAAATCATAAATATATTAAAATAAAAGTATCATCTTATGGCAATTGACATTTCGTGTGCTTGCATTTAACTCAAGTGAATTTGATGTACAGCGAATGTGCACAGTGAGAAAAATCAGACGGAAATTCGATATAAAGTTAGAACTTCTTTTTATAATAAGCTTGATGAGGCATTTTATACCTTGCCGCTTAGACTCCTGTAGTTTAGCAGCCTCATAGGCATAACGCACGATGATAAAGAGAGTTGTTAATATTCGACTACTTAGCTTTCTTCCAAGAAGCCACAATTTTCATTACCTTTAAAGTCCTGACTTTTTAATAAGAACGGAAACGTCACAAGCGGTTTTGATATTGAGTTTAGCTTAAGATTTTAGATCGAAAGAATCAGTTGCAGACCTTACCAAATTTTTTCAGTCTCGTTTGTTGCCTGAATGTCAGCATACTAATTTATAGATACTAGGATTTGAAACACATGCAAAATAAAGTTACTCTCTCTCAAATTATTTTCATGCACTCAGTTTTTAATAAAGAGTGTTTGCTTGGAAGACATGTGGCCGCATATAATTTAACGTTATGGCCAAGAATTTAGCTTTATTAAATATAAGGACATTTGCCATTATGTTTCAAATATAATTTCAGGCAAGTGACGCGCCGAATATTCTCTTCCAGGGCGTAAATCGTTTTGGGTTTATCTGCATGGACAAGCGACTTCACATAAGCCCACAAAAAATAGTTCAATGATGTTAAATTGCAAGGTCTTGTGGGCCACGCCAGAGGCCCACGACCCGATATAATGCGCCCACCAAAAGTTTCGTCCAATAAATTGATGGTTTTGTTGGCTATATGGCCGTCTTGCTGGAACTAATGGTCGTCCATATCAACATCCTTCAATTTAGGCACGAAGAAGTCATTAATCATGGCTCTATAGCGTTCCCAATTGACTGTAACATGATGTCCGGCTTCATTTTTGAATTAACCAATAATTTCCCCTGCCCATAGAGCACACCAAATAGTGATAGTTTGAGGATGTAACGGCGTCTCAACAATGGCTTGTGGATTATCATCACTCCAATTCATTATGAAATTGTAAACGAAAATAAGTATAAATCGAGTAACAGCCGTTAAAAGGACCAACTCCGAACAAAAATTTGTCTGGTTGAAAACCACACGTCTAAACAAACACCCGTCATAAAATAGTCGTAAAATTTCCCCGTTTACTTTTTTCCGAAAACTCGAAAACCGCCACCAGCAAAGATTCAATACTGTCTATGTTCGGATTTTCTTTAGAAAACACTAAAGATTCCTTTCCATGAAAATCATGGGAGTAGATTCATTTGAACTAAGGCAATAACATACTATATCTGAGGCTCTCTTTGTAAAATTATTGTTCGGATTACATTAAAGATTGTTCATTAATTCATGCTCTGAAGCAGATAGCTATAAATAACAATTTCTATTTCGTTCTCCTAGGTGCATATCGAGTTCGCTTGATCTATTAAGGCTCTAAAGCGTTGAAAGCGTCTACGGTGTAACAACTAAAGCATTTCTAGCTAGAATATTCATAGGGACCAGTGTAAACTAACATCTAGCTTCAAAATATCTATGAGTTATATTTATTTCTTTCGACAAACATTGCATATCTATAGAACAACAGTTGTCTGGTCCGTAAAGACTTTTGGAAAATGAAAATTCTTAACCATAACGGGAAACTAGCGAAGAGGACTTTCAAAAACACTTTCTGATTTATAATTTCCTCGCCCCTGAGGGACAGCAAATCTCTTCAAAGAACATAGCTTCCCGATTTGTTGTATATTAGTGAAGGTGTGTTCTGATGATTTCACATTTGCTTGAAAGATCTAAAAAGCTCACCCGCAACACTGTTTGAACTACATATTCTCTGTTTTCGGCCGTTGCAAAAGTCCGATATGTTTTTACCGTTATCGCTAACAAAGTTTTGATATGTTTCATGTAATTTGTCAAAATTAATTATGACATCCAACCACAGGCGTTGCCATGAAACTCAAACTGTCACCCAAAACCAAATCCACCAAATAAAAACAACATCATCATAGGTCCCGCACAAGTCAAGTCAACTTTGATAAGTTCATTAAAAAAGGTTTTTTTTAAGAGAATCCGCATTTCGTGGACGAGCATTACGCTAACGATACGTTGAAATGCCCTTTAGCACCCGGCTTGTGCGTTGCCTTTCACTGTGTAATAAATTGATTTGTGCCAATGCACGTACCAAAATTGTGGGCGACTGATTGACAGCTGGCTTGACTGGCATATGGCTGGCAGCGAGCCTTCACTCAGCTGCGGGCAAAATATTAGCAATGAAATTTCGGCGTCGAAGCTGTGCATATCATAGATTTACAGATTTCAGTGGCGTCATTATTTGATGTGGGTACCAACAAGTTGAATCCAAGCGTGGGCGATGTGTGTCTTAAAAGGAAAATATTAGTGGAATTTTATTAAAATTCGAAAGAGAGGTTTTTCTTTTTTTTATGTAACCGAAGTGAGATCTAACTGCCAATAAAGCCAAGTTATTGATTCTAAGGAAGATTCTTCATCGTTTTATATTTTGGTTTTGTACAAACATAGAATTTTCCTACCTCTATTCCCTTCTATTTAACATATTTATGTCATGCCCTGAACAGGGTATATTAAGTTTGCTACGAAGTTTGTAACACCCAGAAGAAAGCGCCGAAGACTTTATATAATATAATATATATTTGTATATAAATCATCAGTATGGCGAGCTGAGTTGAGTTAGCTATGTCCGTCTGTCTGTATATACGTGAACTAGTCCCTGAGTTTTTGACATATCGTTCTGAAATTTTGCACATTTTCCCAAGCATTGCTCATTTGTCGAACCGATATCGATTAATAGCTCGGAATCAAGTTCTTGTATGGGTTTGACGAGGTATCTTCACGAAATTTCGCATGGATTATTGTCGAAAGCAATCATACGATTTTTGAAGAAATAGTTCAGATCGAACTTAACCTTTTTTCTTGTTTTTTTTTAATAATTCAATATTCAAAGCTTTTTAATATTAATTTTCTCTCCCAATCTCCCAATCTCACTTTCTATTTTCTGCCAACGAAATATTTCTTTGATTTTTAACTTACCTTCGGCGCTTTTGCATTTGCACTTCAATTAGATTTCCGCCTCTCATCCCGCTGTCATTTAATTTTTTACCGTTAACACACGGGCAATGCTTCTCTTTGATTTACTTCGGATTTCTATTCGATTTTCGGCTGACTGTGCCTTTTTAAGTGCCTCAAATATATTATTACCGCTATACTTCCGTGTGTTACACTGCCGCTAGCCGTCTTGCCACATCACTACATCAGAAGTCCCTTCGTTATTTTTGTTGTGCACTCAGTTTCAGTTTTCGCATTTATTTGCTTTTTATACTCTTAGTATGTTGCTACAGAGTATAATAGTTTTGTTCACCTAACGGTCCGTCCGTCTATGCAAGCTGTAACTTGAGTTGGGAAATTGAGATATCTTTATGAAACTTGGCACACATGTTTCTTGGTACCGTAAGTCGGTTGGTATCGCAGGTGGCCGTAATCGGACCACTGCCACGCCTACAAAACGCCGTTTATCAAAAACACATAAATTGCCATAACTAAGCTCCACAATAAGATATAAGACTGTTATTTCGTATGCAGGATCACATTAGGGAGGGGCATCTCCAGTTTAAATTTTTTTTAAGAAGTGGGCGTAGTCCCTCCCCCTAATGTAC